TTTCCACAGTGCCAATTCCCGCTGCGGTGTGGCAGAATGCTTTGCCATCGGCCTTTTTGCCCATCGGAGCCAAAGGGAAAAGAAGGATGGCGAAAGTTCGCATAAAACACGCTCCTGCCATGCCTGCCTGACAGCAGTGTTATTAGCTTACCCTTTCAGCCACAGTTAAATACAAAACCAGACTCGTGTTCTTCCTTTCCGTACTCAGAAAAGGAAATCCACATGTTTATATTCAAAATCCACATTAAAATATACCACTGGTCAAATCTTACAATCTTATGTCACCCGAAAGGCCAAATATGTATTTGCAGAAAACCTCCCCACTTCTCCATCCCTTATTGCCCCCAGACCAACCTTCCACCCCACCTCCCGGCTCTTCCAATACGACAGCATCAGACATCGGTGCCTGGACACAATCTTTCCGGCGTGCCGGTGCTTCCATTACCCACATTTGCTTGCAAAAGCTTATAGCTGAGCTTTGAAGGTCACTTTGTGCTGCAGCTTGGCATGCAATGCCATTGCTGGGCAAACTGAAGAAAATACATGACAGTTTTTCAGTTGTGAGACATCAGCAATTGATTCATGCCAGTTGAGATTTAACTTTTGACCTTCAGAATAAGACCCCTTCCATCCACTTCTAACATTTTACAGGGGATTTTTTCACCCCCCAAAGGCTGTTTCTCACGGAACTGCCTCCCAGCATCCTTCCCACCATACCTGTGGGCACCTAAGCAGAGCCCGACTTTGCCAACGCTCCCTTGGGCCAGGCCCTGCAGACGTGGTCCCAGTGGTTCTGGCACCACTAGATGGGCCCTTCCTTGGCTTTTCCCATGGAGTCCCCGCACATGGAGGTCGATACGTAACAACGCTCGGCTCTTTCCTCTGGGCTTGGCTCATGGAAGCAGATTGATCAACAGTGTTTTAGATGTTTGCTGAACTCTTTGCAATAAAGGCTGATTCCTTAAGAATAAACCAGAAGGAATGCTGTGGTATTGTACTACAGTATTCTAGCTCTCAAAAATGTTGCTGTGTTGTTTTAGGCCATGGTCTAACGTCACAGATGTTCCCTTTCTTAAAATGGAGGGAAAGATCAGAGCACTGTTACCCTTAACTGGGAATTACAGACCTCTGTTTTTAAAGAGGATGTAGAGTTTTACTCTTTGGTGAATGACGTTTTTTAATTTGATAAGAGGACCCAAGGTGGCATGCAGTGGGGCTTCCTTTGTTAGTCAAAAAATCTACCTTTACGTTAAATATTTTTATTACATCAAGTATTGAAAGGAGGAAGAATTCAATGGCTGGAATCCACAAATCTGTTCTCCAGTATTTAAAATTCCTAATTTTGTTTGTGTCTTTTTGATACTATGTACCATTCTATATTACAACATTTAAACAATTCAACAAAGTTCCAATGATAAAGAGTCACAAAGAAATGGAAATGCTTCAAATATACACCATCAGTTTCACGTACCTTCAGTTCTGCCAAGCTACTTCTCTACATACAAGTCAAGAACATTTCAGATACTTGGATTTAGCCTTGCATCATCAGCACAATTTATGTGGAAGAGAAGTTAATTAAAAAGGAACAAAAAAATGCACCGTTTGGCACTGTCACTTGAAACTGAAGACTAAAATTTATTTTTTCTGCTGTATTTTAACAACGGCTGATTCTCTCCTTAGTGTGAAAGCACCGATGTTTTCACTTACATTACAACACCACTCTGGACTACTGGAGCTTTTGTGCCCGGCCATCAAATATCAAGTATGGAGACCAAGCTGTTTCTCTCCTGGATAAAACTTCCTTCTACTTTGCAGCCACAAAGCACATGAGACGATGTACTTCAGGGTACTTACTGCACATCGCAGGTGAGTAAAATAATTCCACCTTCACTCTCACACCTCTGGACAGTTCGGGACAGAATAACCCAGGAACAACCTACCCCCATCTTGCTGCTAAAGTGTGACTTTTAGATGATAAACTATGCCGCATCCATTCCTGTTCTGCTAGGTGCAACGCCAACGTCTTACCCACAGCCGCCATACCCAGGCAAGAAAACTAGCGTAAGCAAGTGGACTATGGTGCTAGGAAGAAATGTACAAGTTTTATTTTTAAACATCACTGGACCGAAAAATAGAGAGTCATATGGCTTATTTATATTTCAGGAGATGGTAGTGAATAAGTTAAAGGATATTTCATCCCAAAACATACGTTGCTTTCATTTATAGCTAAGCTAATGTACACATACGTTTTTCTTATTTTCATAAATGTCAAGCACCCACCTTTTTCCCCCCACAAAGATTTACAAGTACATGCATGGCACTTCCTACAAAGCTGTTGTGGGCTAACGGCTTACGAACAATGATTTTTTTTTTTTTTTTGAATCAGAAATATTCATCAAACCAAAATATAATCATTTAAATCAACTTCTTCCTGAGCAACTTAGAATTTGGAATGTGCTGAAAAGTTTCAATAAATAAGTCAAAGATTAACCAGCTTAGAACGTATCTTTTAACAATTAAGTAAAGTATATTTCATGACAGATGAATAGGCTGTAGGACCAGGAATCTTACATGCTATGTGCCAGATAAATTTATGAAGTACCATTCAAGGAGGAGAGGCCAGGTTGATTGTTACAAAAAATACAACATTAAAACCTAGCGAGTAAATCATTAAACAGGTTTTGTATTCAGGCTATAAGTAGTGATGGCTGAAGATACCATTAAATAAACAGATAAAAATAGACTTTACGGTAAGCGGTAGTGAACTTGCAGGAAGGGTGAATGTGTTAAGTGACTGATTATTCTATTACAACGTTGGCAAAAAGGATTCAAACAGAATTTCAGAAAGGTGAGAATATTAGTTTTCTTTGCAAAATATAACAACTCAGTGTGTAAACTAATCATTACTCTTTCAATGTAATTTCATAGAAACCACTTAAAATATACAATGCAGCAGATTCGTATTTTAGCTAATATGTTAGTTGTTATCATCTGTGCCATTTTCAGCTTTCTTTAACGTGCTCCCCCACGGTAGTGCATTGCTACCACCAACCTGGGATGTTAATAATCAGAACAGAATCTTCTACATAATATTTTCTGTGAGTTAGCATCTTGTCCTAACACAATTATACTTCTTTATTTTCGTTCTCTGCGTGTAGGTACAGTAAAGACTGACTGGTGATGAAGATGGGCCATAATGTTTATTGGCTCTCAGCAGGCTCATGGAAGAGGAAACCCTTGGAAAGCACATTCGAGCTTAGCCCGAGTTTATATGCCTCGTCCATCACAAAATAACTTTTGCTTGTTATTGCAAACCGAAGTTTTGCAGACGGCAGACACACTGCTGAGGCAGCTGCAGAATAGGAAGCAAAAATTGTCCAGTAGATGTTTGAGAAGGGACGTGAGTTAGGCAGAGGTGCGTTGCCCCTGAAGCGTTACTGGCACTCATCCTGGCAAGGAGCTGCAACTCGTTGGCTCTGCTTCTTTCCTGTGCTCTATGGCAGGAATTTATTGCTATTATCCTCTAGTAGTCGAGCTTCCTCTAGCAACAGTGGTGCACAAGATGCCAAGGCCTCATCAAGACCCCCAAATCCCCCCTATTCTGCTATGGAGCAGATGGCCAAATAGCTCTACCCATTGCTGCACGCAGGTCTGTCCCTTCTGCACCACTGTCCTGGCAGGCTGTGGAACAGCCGGCAAGCCCACACGTCACAGGGAACCCTGGGGACACCCACCTTAAGGACAACAGCATGTCAGATTTTGGAGCTATTCCCCTTTCCCCTCCCAGCCTCCACTGATCCCATTGCTAGCGTCTGCTGATAATACTGGCAGTGATTAACAAGGGCAAACTTCCACAGTGACTCTCATAACAACGCATCATTGAATCAGCTTTGGTTTCACAGAGTATGCCGCCGCCTTTTCTTTGTTTCATCATTCTGAAATATTGCTACTAGAGAAACTGTGTATGTCCACATTGTTAATTTTACGTCTAGCCATGCTAAAAGCAGGCGCCTAGTGTTTGCGCTCGTGGGGTCGCTGTGTTCAGCCTCAGAAGTGAACAACTAAATTCTGCGATTGCAGAAATACCAGTCATGTTTAATAGGAGTTCCAGATCATCTACATTTTTTAATGACTGACTTTTTCTGTATCTCTTTGGATTTGTGACCCATAAGAATAAAACTCTACAAATACCCTTCCCGAACATAAAAACCGTATGCTGCACCTTTTCCTTCACAGTCTAATAGAAAAGCACTCAACTGCAGAAACAAAACTACTGTTTAGGCAACTCTCCCTTGGCCTTTTCATCTGTTGTTCCCATTCACTGACCAGGAAACTTTTTCCACTCTATGAACTAGAAGGGTTTACCAAAAACATCTAGTTCCCATAACTTGCCTTATGTCCCCTAGTATTAGTTTGCCAGAAGAGGAGCCTCGCTCCTCCCAGGCAGGGTAACTGAGCAGGCATTACCTAGCCGCTTTCTGAGCCTGCCCCCCTCGATGTGCACAGACACGGCAGTGGCTCTGGCCGTACCACTGGGATACCGGGGTGCTCTGGGCAGGAGGAGGCACTCTTCCCAAACGGCTCCCTGCCGGTAGTTAATGCCGCAGTGCTGTGCAATGAAGACTTGTTTCTAGAGAGAGAGAGACAACAGCCTGTAAAATTTACTTTGCAAGACCACCTATTCTTTTATGTTTTGCAGGTGCCCAGAGGACTACCGTGCACTCCAAAAGTTATTTTGTGATAGACAGTAGATACTTCTCTCTTGAACTATGTTATAGCAAGGATGCTATAGAGCCAACACCATATAATGAACCAAACCTGCAAAACCAGGTACCTCCCAATGGCCCCAGCATGTGGGAATGGTCTCTTTTGTTCCGTTTCAAATGCTGCTGCGCATTAACTCAGTTCCTTAAGGAATGACTTTTAATAATAATTAAAAAAAAAAAATCTTAAGAAAGCTGGAGGGATCACCAGAAGAGAAAGGATAGTTCTTCCATCCATCACCTTTTATAGATATCCTCTAGCCACTTTTCATCATCTTCCTCATCGTCCATCGGTTCCTCTGTTTCCAGGGGAGAAGGAATGAAGAACTCAGGTCTGGGACGTGGTTTCCTGATATGAGACTTCAGTCCAAACTTGCGCTTTAGCAGGTGGAACTGTTCTTTGACATAGTAATAAAACTCGTATTCATATCTCATGCGTTGGTAGAGGATCTGTATTGCTTCTGGAGAGGGGACGGTCTTTTTCACTGTCACAGTCAGATTGCCAAGTTTCCTATGTTCTGTAAAAAAACCCAACAAGCAAAATGGTGGGTGCTGATTAATGAGACCAGACCTAACCTTTTTTTTTTAAAAGATTAAGGCATGGGCCTACTGCATTACTGATACAAATGAGCTCAATCTGTCTACTTAATAATGGATTTATTTTTTGCGAGAGACGAAAAAATATAGATGTTTGACGTTAGACTTGCATGTTTATGTATGGCTAGTTCATAGATGGCATTTGGCATTGCATATAACCACCAAGGATCTTAAGTGGCAATAGTTATCTACAAATGCAAATTAGGTCATACCAATTATAAGCACAAACTGCATGCAGAGAAACCCATAATCTTGCCTCGCTTTGGAAATTTTGCCTGATGCATGTGAAGTATATACCCAGCACACAGCTGAGCTGAGCTAACCAATTACTTCCTATGTGACATTCTACGTTGCGCCTCAGTTGCCCTTTATTATTGTTCAGATCTAAACACGTATGTATCAGTCTGAATCCACCTCAGGCTAGCACCAAAGCATTGTTGGCATCACCACATCACACTTCAAGACCGAATGTCCCTGTTCACCTTCCCATCCTGTTATACCTGTTAATTAAACTAGGCTCATCTTCCTGTTGTGCCTGGGACTGGAAAATTTCAGTATATTTCTCTTCACCTGACAACTTTTGCTTTGGTAAACTGAAATAAAGCACCTTTATTGTCGATAGAGAATGAGAGTTACTAACAACAATACGGCGTTGCCTCTTTGCCTCCTCTCTCAATAGATTATTCTTCCATTGGAGATTGATGTATTTGAACAAGGTGTAAAGCAAACTCTCAAGGCACTAACTTTTCTGTTTTCTACCAGATGGCAACAGGCTGCCAGAACGTCCTAAGTATTTTCTTCTTCTGCAAGACAGAAATGTAACTGAAAGTCAACTCTGAAGAAGAGAACAGTAAAAGCTGGAAGTACTGACCTGTAGCATCACTGTATCCCCCCTAACAACTGCAACAGTCTTAAGGAGAAGTGGAGATGAATGTTACACTGCTGAAGTACTAGCTTCTACAATGAGGTTTTCTGAAACCTCAGTGCTCCAACCCAGTAAGTCTCATGCGTTACTCTGGGAGAACATGACGCCCATGGAAATGGCAGTAATAGCCTCAGAACAGAGCTGGGTCCAGACACGGCAAGATGATGGGCTTGCATGGAAGCAAGGAGATGCCAGTTAGACATGAGTAAGAAGTCTTTTTTGTGGCAAGGATAGTTTGGCAGTGCTGTAGAGCATACAGGTTACAAAAGCTGTATCCCTGGAGGATTTTAAGAGCAGATTGATTCTCTCCTGAGGGAAGCCACTTGACTAAGGGACATCTTAAAGCTGTATTCCATGACTCTAAAACCAGTAGATTAACTTTAGTCCTGTCAGTCCTTACTTTGCTTCCTTGCTCTTTGCTACAACAGCAAGGTCTGTGTGAGAACTGTATTTTTTGTTCCAGGATAATGTCTTGGCTTCTGATGCTCGTTCTTTTCTTAATATTTATATCCTCTATTTGTGCTGCTTCAAATGCCAAACAGAAATCCCCATATTCTACATGACTACATAGATAAATGGTTGCAATGAGGCAGAGCTGGATTTTGATACAGAAACCTAATTCTTATTGTAACAGCAGTTCTGCAAGCTGGAGGAATTCAAAAGGGTGAGACCATGAAGCATGGCAAAGGAAAAACTTACAAGGAGGAGGCAGACAACAAAGAACATCTCATGTTTCCCACTGGGTCCCAGTGGCAAGTGACCACCCTCACTTCCAGAGGGAGTGCCTGAATCAAAATGGGATTTTATCATGGGCAGAGTTTTGCTCACGTGAGCAGTCCAAACAGAAGTCTTCCGAAGCACCTGCCAGCAAGGCTAAACACATGCAGAGAAACACATTTTCACAATCACTTGCACGTAACGCTAAGGGATGTGGGAAAGTGAGTTGTTCTTGGGATTTCACAAGCAATACGTTCATCCAAGAAAAATAACCAAAAATAACTTTTTAGGGAAGAGAGGAATTTTAACCAAAGGCAAACCCATTTATTTCAAGAGGTAATAAAAGATGAGTAAGTCCGCCTAGCGAACACAACAGCAATGACCTTTAGACAAAAAATATGTATTGTACAAGATTTTAAATCTTAAAAAGTACAACCGAAGGGTACAGCACAGCTATGTGAACATAAATGGCTTTCTTTACATTTTAAATGATTGATGTTCATATAGCTTAGGATATACACACCTATAAACACGTTCTAATTTTCAGACAATGGACACACATTTTCCTACTTCAGAGTAAAGGAATTAAAGAAAAACAACTGAAAGCTGTTCATGTTAATAGTGCTACACAAGACAGCAAGTGATGCTGGGCTGGACATTCTCATATTCATTTGACTCCATTGCGTCACAAACATCTGGTGCAGAAGAAAAAAGTTGTATCTGAAAGAGGTATTCTCCCTCTCAGTTTTACTTATCATTTACAGCAGAGTAATTTGAAATGTAGGAAGAATATGATACAAAGAGAGAATAGGTTGACTAGCTTATCAAACATAATGCTGTTCTAAATCGCAAAAAAAATATTTAAAGCATTAATTCTATTTTGCATTTTTACTTTTAATTTCTTCTCTAAAGGAAGAATGGTTTTCATTAGTTGGTAACAATTAAAACATGCTGCTCTGTAATTAAATGGAGCTTTTACACCAAACTTCGTAGTCCTTTACACTGAAATCTCTGTCTCTACTCATATATCTAAGTAATTAAACAACTTAGTACACAGAGTTCTTTGTTCTTCAATTACAGTAACGCATGGTGATATATGCTCTACACTTACAGACTGTTCAGAGTTTATCAATTTCTGGAGTTTTATTTAGATGGGAGTGAAACGATTAAAATATACCAAAACTGAATTAAAAATAAAGAAGAGATCTTTAGTGTGCTGTCTAGCTAAGAAAAAGCATAGAGGAGGGATTGTGAAATGCTTGCATTTAAAATAGACATTATTAGCATAGAAAGCACTACCTGTAGCTAGTGAATGTGGTGAAATATTTTTGGTGAAAATATTTGGGTTCCCCAAGAGCTTACTCTTTTCTACACCACTTTTACCCATAGACCGGAATAGACTAACAAATGTCTCCTTTTTTCTGCAATTCTCAGTCAGTTGTTCAAGTTGCCATTGATGGTTATTAGATGAACACGCTCCGGGAAGGACACTGTACTCAGGCTGTCCCTGGGTGAGAAGGCGACCGCTGCCTTATCATTCTTGAGCACTTCAAGACATTCCTCTTTTGGTGCTTAGCTGGTAGCTCCCGCCAGCTTTGCAGTCTGGTTTTCTTTACAAACTCAGCAGCAAATATACACTACTAAATATTGCATTTATTAAGCTTAAGCCTTTATACTGCTGGCCAACTTCATTTTTATTTTACAGAGGTTATTTCTGTTACAGAAAACTCCATTTACCTTGCTGGAAAAAGCTCTTTACTTATACGGTCCCTCCAGGACTCTAAGCGGGAAAAGCCACTTCTCACAGCTCCAGCTCCCTTTGGTGGCTGCTCCTCGCAGCAGAGAGAGGCACTTGTGTTCGGCCCAGGAGCGCTGCCAACCGCGACAACGTGAAAAGTGCTGGCCGGGTGTCCTGGGGGGGCGGGCGGTGTGGGGCAGGACCAGCCGCCGGGGGATTTACTGGTGCGGTGCCAGGTGGGGAGCAGCCCGCCGGCACCCGATCTGCCGAAGCAGCCAGGTGCTGCGTGCCACCCTCGCGGTGGGCAGCGAGAAAGCAGCAAAAAACAGCGAAACATACTCCTCCTCCAAATTTGCAGTAGTCACGGCATAGAGGATACCTGGATGCGTGCGATTCTTCTTTGCTCTATGCGCACACCTACGCCTGTAGATATATACATACGTACAGACAGAAACACCCACACTCTGGAAGGCTACAGGAGCAACGTAGATTTTCTGGCTTCTGTTGGTTCGCTTCGCAGTATAATCATGAGTAACCGCAGTGCGCAAATAGCTGTGAGGTGCTGGCTGTCAGGCGGCATGAGTTGGGGCTGTGCCTGGATGCAGGCTCAGCCTTTTGATAAAACAACTCAACTTCGCTTTTTTTGCACTTGAATTTTATATTTAGACTGGTTTCTAATCTTAAATACTCTTAAAAGGCTCTTTAATAACAAATATGAATGAAATCACAGGACTGCCCCTTGAAGTCACCTTAACCACCTCTCCTCATCATAGAAGCAAAATGGAAAAATTAGGCAGATTTGGCTTAAAGCCAAAATAACAATCTGCATATGTTACATAAACCCAGCTGTCCCACCAAAGGACCCCCATTTTATGACCTTTGAGAGAGCTAACCATATGGAGGGCAACAAACTACGCCATTTACTTTTTAGGGTTCTTTTTTTTAAAACTGTGTTTACTTTGGCATTCTTTTAAATTACTAAAAAGAATGTACTATACAGTAACTCAACCTCCCAGTGCAGCCTGCTCATGCCTTAAATTAAGACTAAATTGGTATACAGATATGCATGAAGAAAATTAAATTCTTTTGGGTTACCAGGTGATGATATTTACCATTACTTTCCCCACTCTCACTTACTTTGTTTTGTTTGTTTTGTTTTTGTTTAACTAAGAAATTGGTGTTACTCACTGCAGTAATCCAAACCATAGGGAAAAGTGGTTTTTATACTTTGTGGCTCAAAAACCCCTGGATTGCCATATTTAGACAAAATGATCCTAAAGGCATTTTCCACCTCAGGAAGAGAATTTCGGAGTGACGCGCTCTCCAGCACCCTGCCGTTTTGGTGGGTGCGACGCAGAGGTTTGCTCCCCAGCGCTGCTCCCGGACGAAGCCCAGGGAGCCCAGCGCCCTCGGGGATCCGGTGGGGAGAGGTGAGCCAGGCTGGAGCCAGCGCAGGACGGCTGCAGGCGAGCGTAACCGCAGGCTTGCCCAGCTAAAGCTTGCGCTGGAAAAACCTCATGCGGAGCTCTGCTGCTCTAAGG